GCTTTCCCAGTGTTATCCAATGTACCACTGTATGGAACAGCAGTGCGGACACCTCTGCCTAGCCGCTGTCCTATCTTTCGCCCCAGCTGGTGTGGGGGGACTTGCCGGCTTCCGCAGGGCACTGGAGGGGGTCAGCAATAGTGGCGTTCTCGGGCGAGATCCCAATTCGTCAGTCACGACTGACGTAACGTCTCCGTTCTGTCCTTCAGGGAACGAGGGTTACACAAGTAACCTAGACGTTCTTTAGACAAATAAACAATTATGTCCTTAACAGAAATGGGTAAAATGAATAAAGCCACGTCTCATTCAACACAACAGTCAGGTGTTAATATATACAGTATATCACACCTTACCGCACATAGTCTCGGCTCCTCAGCGAAAAACTGATGTGCGTTTGCACGCGCTCTCCTTTTATACCCGCGCTGCGGGGCGGGGTGCGCGTGGCGAAACACGCACGCCAACTGTCATTGGCTTGTTTAGTTAACACTCGAAGGTGATTGGGCTCTCGGGCGAGATCCCAATTCATCAGTCACGACTGACGTAACGTCTCCGTTCCCTCCTTCAGGGAACGAGGGTTACACAAGTAACCTAGACGTTCTTTAGACAAATAAACAATTATGTCCTTAACAGAAATGGGTAAAATGAATAAAGCCACGTCTCATTCAACACAACAGTCAGGTGTTAATATATACAGTATATCAAGAAATATAACACCTTACCATTGTTTAGTGGAATAGCTTGTTCCATAGGAGTTTGATCTGTTATAAAATAATCACTTTATTAAACAATGAATTAATTAAGAGAAGCAAAATAATACAATTCTAGCACAGTCAAGCAATTTTTTGTAGTTACAAAGTTAACTTTTTTCAAAGGTATTTCACATAGTTTTCTCATTGTATCAGCCGTATGTAACACTTACTATTTTTTTCTTTTGTTTTGTCAAATTTGTTGTAGCAATAGTAAACCACAGCACCCATCCCAGCAACCAGCAGGAAGACAACAACACCTATCCCCACTTTAATGCCAGAGGACAGTCCTTGTGCTGTAATAGAGAAGTAGAGACATTAGAAACTTGTGGAGATGTACTGGAACTGACAATATCGGGTTGTGACATACTGATGCCGTTTAAGCTGTGAGTCTATTTGGCACAGAGTTTGTTTGTTTTCACTAGTATAGCTATAAGGATGTATCCATGGTTATGTTCATAACTGCATCCGTAAAATGGAAAGTTAGTCAGCTGACATTAATAATGCACTACAAACGTAATATAAATGCTGTGTGACCTGTTGAACTCTTTGCCCTTCTTAGTATAGTTATTTAGCTGAGCTTTGCTATTAGAATTTAGAGTTTGTAGGAGTACCATATTTTTATATTGGTGTACATACCTGAACATGTGTGACAGAGTTGAGTGATGTCCAGATGTTGAGTCTGGTTGCTGATGGGATTGTTGAGCACACAGCTGTAGGTGTTTTTATCCTGATATTCCACCTCCAGAGGTAGAGAGAGACTGATGCTGAGATCAGACACACTGATGCTGGACAATAAACTGTTTCCTTTGTACCAGGAGAGAGTCACATGACCCACATTCACCACTGAACACACCAATAAACATGATGATGATGAAGAACACTGTGAAGAGTTTCTGCTGATGACAGGAACAGACAGACGAGCTGGAAAGCATTAGAGAATAAACAGGCAAAATATAATTTTCAGATAAATCAACATTTATTGGTAAATCTATATGTTTATCTGAAAGAAATCTGAACGACGCTTTAATGCAGTAGTTTGAAATGTTCACAAATAACAAAGCACTGGCTATTGAAATCTATTAGCATAACATTTTTTTTTTAAATAATTGGCTTTATTTTATAAAGTTTATATATGAATTATATGAATTATTCAGTCAATTATACATTATTTGAGGAAGAACACTGTGAAGAGTTTCTGCTGATGACAGGAACAGACAGACGAGCTGGAAAGCATTAGAGAATAAACAGGCAAAATATAATTTTCAGATAAATCAACATTTATTGGTAAATCTATATGTTTATCTGAAAGAAATCTGAACGACGCTTTAATGCAGTAGTTTGAAATGTTCACAAATAACAAAGCACTGGCTATTGAAATCTATTAGCATAACATTTTTTTTTTAAATAATTGGCTTTATTTTATAAAGTTTTTTGTTAAAGCTCTTATATGAATTATTCAGTCAATTATACATTATTTGAGTTGTAAAGTTGTCTAAATCATCCTTTTGAGTTTTGAGGTGAATGAACCTGCTTTGATAGCATGCAAATTGTACCAAGTTTACATGATCATGACAGGAGTTGAAAGAATAGATATAACTTTAAACAAGTTAGTCAATAAATCTATCGCTTTAGTCTCAACATAACATTCTTAATGTTTAAGTGTTTCTGTGTTAAGAAGTGCTGCTTCCAATGGGGAAGAGTAGGAGGAGGAGTCAGAATCAAAATAATAATGCAATCTTGGGCTGCGTTTACACTGGCACAAAAAAATCAGATTTTTTTGCTCATATCCGACACAGATCAGAATTTGTTGCACGTGGCAAGTCTTAATGCACATACCGCCTGTTTACATTCACTTTAGACATGACTGATATTCAATATTTGTGTTTACATTAATTCCTGCCCAGAATGATTGTCAGTGATCGCTTTACTATGGACATGGTAGAGACTTGGGTTTTAAATGGCCATGCAATTAAAATTACTTTAATTTTAATCATTTTAATTTTAATAAATTAAATACTTTTAATAATTCATGTCGAGTGGCCATTATTATTTGCCTGCATGGACAACAGCTGTCATGGATGTTCTGCAGCACAAATTCTGACTGAATGGATACCACTCGTCGTGTCTAAAGTGAATGTAAGCAGGTGGGCCAAAAAAATCAGATATGGTCAAAAGATCAGATCTGTGCATTAAGCATGCAGTGTAAACGCAGCTTAAACACAATCAGTATGTCGGCCCCCTCTACAACAGTACTTACAGTAGATCACTAGGCCAAACATCTTGAGTAACATATCATAGACCTTTAGGAAGTATAATTGCTTTACATTTTAAATGATTAACATTTATTTTAATGCAAACTTGATTAGTAGATAAAGTAGATAATTCCACTGAAAGACTTGAGCTACTCACCATAGACAGTAACATTAAATGTCTTGTATGTGCTCTTCCTGACGACATTTAATTTATATATTCCAGAAAAATGAGTTGTGATGTTCTTGATGGTAAGAGATCCAGTTGATTGGTTCACCAGAAATCTGTCTCTAGATATCTTAATTTCAGAGTTCATAGCTATGACAGTATTTTCAGGTCCAAAGGTCCACACTTTCAGATCTTCTGTCTGTGTTTCACCAGTATGTAAAGTGACAGAATCTCCCTCCATCACTGATACTGATTCTATTGCATCTGTCTCAGCACCAGACACACCTGCAGAACAAATAGAAATGGTTATTCAGATAGAGATTCAATCGCAAAACCACAACACAGTAAGTACTGTATGTGAAATGCAAACAGGTGAAAGGACGCACACTACATTTGGACCAGAATCTGGTGTAGGTCTTCTGTTATCATATTAATTATCCTAACAATCTGAGTTCTGAATCAAAGAAAGGTCAGAGTCCTTTGGCAAAGGGAGTGACCAACTCCTTGTAGTTTAGTTTATCAAAGAGTTAGGACAAAGGTGTGTATGTATATATATATATATATATATGCCAATGGTGATTTTATACCTTCCTGGTCCATGTAAATGAAGCAGCACAAGACATAATTTGTTAATGTACAATATAACATAACACACAAATAGTTTTTTGTGCTCTGCATTAATGATTTCTACACCCTAAAAAATGCTGGGTTGTTTCAACCCAACATTGGGTCAAATATGGGTCAAATACCCAACCGTTGGATTACATTTTTTAACCCAAAAGTTGGGTTAGTCCATATTTGACCCAAAGTTGGGTTGAAACAACCCAGCATTTTTTAGAGTGTATACAACCCATGCACTTATGCCTGATATAGATATACTTGCATGAAAATTTCAAGCCTCTTTGGCCCTGGCCATTGACTTTGCACGACGTATCACATAGCACAGACCTTAAGATGTACTCTTAAAATTGGGCCTTGAGTAAAACAGGACTCACTAGAAAGGACCCAAGCAAAACAAACAAACAAAAAAACTTCAGGATGGAATGTTATGAAAAAATGGGTTATCACATTTATTATGTTTTCAAGGGTGTGAGAACTTGCGTTCAACCAGTCAAGACAGGTTTCTGCAACTTCAATGTGAGAAAAGCTAAAATTGTTGTAAGTATTAATTAATATATATATATATTTTTTTAGTATTCTGTAAGATCAATCTTGTCAAAAAACGGAGGTATTTTCAAACAGTGCTCATATAACTGTGCTCAAGCAGCTTACGAGTAAAGTTGCACCCATAAAGACTTAGCGAGTTTAGTACTTTTATCTGTTCCGCCACACATGCAAACGAGGTCTACAGATTTCGACAAGTAGGCTCTTACTTTGATCACTACAAAACATTCTAGACAGTTGCTTTTTGTCATTTTCTCCCTCACATTAAGATAACCGGAATTATAGGAATTGCGGTTATATAAGCTGATCAAAACCGAAAGTATGTATCTACCACTTACCGTGTATGTGTAGTAATAATAATAATAAAACAATTAATATCTTCATATCGATGAGTTAAGAAAGGGTTAAATAAAATCTGAGTGGAAAAAAATAAAAGGAAAGTGGAGCTGGATTGCGTGAAGACCGGTTTTGTGTAATATTCAGTTCCTGTGAAAAACTGTTCCAGTGGGTGGAGTTTACATGAATATTCATTAGTTCCCATATTGTGGGCGTGTCGAAGTTTCAATGTTAAGCATTAACTGCAACAGTGTCAAAACAATGCATAGTTTGTGTAATATGATAAATTGATACAGACACACAGCAGAGCAAACAAGTAGAATAACCTGTGCTAACCCATATAGTTTTTACTCTTTGATGTGTTTAGCTATTTACTTCATTTGTGAGACTTTAATTTTTGTTTGAATAGTTTGATTAATAGCCCAGTTGTAATTGGTGACTAGTACTGCAGTGTGCTTACAACAGTTTCTAGCAGAGGAGAAACAAGAATGTACAGTATGTGGAAAATAATGTGTTTTTTGAACCTTAAACCGCATAAACACATTTCATTACACCAAATACACCAAATAATGTTCTTTTTAGCAGCATCATATGACCCCTTTAAAGCATTGTTATGATGGCACAGTCTTCTTGGACCTAGGTCAGCAGCTTCTCCAATAATATTATTTCATTTTTATTTTAAGAAATCATACATATGTCATAATATGGCTTTGTTTTGTTTTTGTGATGTTTCCACATATATCGATCATCGTGTAAAGTCACTGGTTCAGATCGGATGTGAGAGTCACATGGAGGCTGTTTTAATAATTATCTCAGACTCCAGACACTCACTTAATTTTGCATTGCTTTATTCCACATACACATATTGTGTTGAAGGTTTCTTGTCTTTTCAATTTGAATTCTATTCATAAAGCAATACTTGTCATAGTAACATTTAATGAATGTAACTAATATATTCTACAATAGAATGTTTGGTTTTAATTTGCTATAAAGAGTCCAAATAAAAGACTTACTAAAAAAAGAGAACATATTTTATTTGTTAACCTGCAGGTCATGTTACTATTAACCAAACATCAGAGAACTGTGAACATGAAAGTGTGTTCTTAAATGACTGAAAGACTAACTTTAATTCATCTCAGAAGATATTCATCTCAGGAGGAGTTGGGAGAACAGAGTTCGGCTGACATTGAAGAATAAGAAAAAAAAATGTGAATAAGATTTTCAAATGTTAAGCATGATTAACACAACACTGTGGATCATGACATTTTGGATGCTTTCACACACCATTCTTAAACATAAGTAGGTTGTTTTTCAGTGCAACATATGGTCAAAGAACAGACACAATGTATGCTTATACTGTATATGATATTTATTATAATATTTATTATTAGTAGTTCTTTCTCACATACCCTAAACTGTTAAGTGTTCTGTGTTTTTTGCTCTGTATTTGACTTAACTAAATACAGTAAAGAAAAACATGATGTATGCTTTCGTAGGTCCATTTTAAAGGGACAGTTCATTCAAAAAATAAAAATCCACTCACTCTCATGTTGTTTCAAGGTTGTATGACTCGTTCTTCTGTAGAAGACACTTTGAGAAATGTGTTTTTTTGTTCATACTGGTTTCGAACGGGTGAGTAGATAATGATTAAATATTTTAATCTATTAGTGCTTGGAGATTGGTGATTCCCAAACAGGTGAATGTGGAAAGATTTTGATGTAAAAAAAAAGCTTAAAAATATAATACGTGACACATTTAATGCACATTAAATTGTATGACTTCAATAATTCTACATGATACCCAATA